CACCGCCCGCCCCCGCCTCCGTTCCCGCTCCCTCTTTAAAGTTGTAGCCCGTGTAATTGTACCGATCCCAAGAGTTGGGAAGAACAATGAGAGAAGGAAACTACGGCTGGTCATGAGTTTCTGGATTAAAATTTAGCCAGAGAGGGAGAGAGAGTACGCAAGAAGGGCACAGCTGATGTTTATATCCTGTTACAAGGACGAGTTTCTCGGTTTTGCACCTGACGGAGCATGTGTTTGGTCTTTTTATCAGTTCTAAAGAAAAATGCTTGGATTTGCTTATGAAACTGACTTTCCCTGAGTAAAAGATTCCCGTTTGTATTTTCTGATAGGCAGGCAAAATATTAGCATTTACTAATGGCTGTATCTGAGCATTTATTCACTTTTACAAGTGTTCTACAGAATGCAAATCTCACATTATAAACTACTCCATAAACCAGCTGTCCTATGAGAATAATTATCTGTCACCTAATGAGCCTGGCCTCTCACATCCTTCAATCCATCCATCCCTAAAGGCCAGAAGAGCTGAAGGCTCTGCAGCGTATCTGGCAAGTTACCAGATCTGAGCTCCGCCTGATGCTTCTTATGGTTCTACTGCTGCCTTTAAATTTACCTGGCAGGATTAATAACACTGGCAGAAAAATTGCTCTCGCCAACATCATTTTAGTGAATCTTCCAGCCTTGAACAAGTTTGAATCAAGCAGTGGGCTTCCCTCATTTACTTAAAAATAATAGTTTCCACTGGCTCATAGTTCCCTACTTCTGGGTATTGGGATAAAGATTACCGGAGTAGGTAATACCTTTTGAGGTACAGTCTCGGCACCACATCTCTTTATGGTGAGAGGCATTTATTTGGGAGAACAGAGCAGAAATTTGTGCATTGCTTCCAAACATGAATGACTCCTCAGGGAATCCTTCATCTGTAGCATAAACCCAAGAGAACACCTTTTTTATTTTTTTCCCCCACAGAAATAATCTAGCATTAAGTAGGCATAGCTGCAAATTCAGAGTTAGTACTGCTGCTAGGATGACATCGTCAACTTTTTTCATGTATATCATGCAAAAGCCAGCAAGCTGGCAATTTCTGGCACGGATTCAAACAAGTGATTTAGAACTCAAAGGGTTGATCTCCTAGTTCAACCTCAGATTGCATTTATGACTGTGTTTTAACTAGTATGAAAATAGTGGACATAAGTTAATGTTCAAGCTAGGAGATCTCAAGGGCTTCCAGGGAAACCTTGTTAAAATTCCATGATTGAGTTGAAGAGAGGATTAGGGTAATTCCCATGTTAGTCATGGAGTTGAGTCTCTCTTTCAACTTGTCCAAATTAATTTTCATTCCTAAGGTTCATAAAAATTCTGTTAAAAAAATGAATGCTTTCAATTTGGAACATACTAGATTGCTCATGGCTTCAAATATTTTGGAAAAGGAGACCCTTTCCCTTGTGGGTCTATTCTTACATTTAATCTGCCAGGTACTGCCACTACTACTCCTCTCCTCAATTCAAATTATGCAAATTAAGTACTTTACTGACAGTTTCAGCCTTTTTCTGACATTAATGCATGTGCTTTTAGGAAGCTGAGTTACACTGCACACATGTATATCCCTGTTCCTATGTCTAAGAATTTACAAGATGCATGTGTAGATGCATTGAGAAAAAGTACTAAGGGCATATCAGTTTTTGCCCAGTTTTCTTGTATTCTTCATGACATATGAAGAAATACTTCTGTTTAAAAACAAAAAACAAATCACACAACTAATGGATCTGAGGGTATCCAATGCTTATTAACGAGTTTTATCACAATAATGGAAAAAGCAGTAAATGTTTTTTACTATGACACAAAGGCTACACACACCGTCAGCTAATCCAGATAAATTCTTCTAACAAAAAAGAAAGAAGTACTAACAAAAACAAAAATCCAAGTTTTTGAAACAGTGTTTTTTAACTTGAATTCTGTTGTCATCCTAAGACTCCAGATTTATTTTGAGTAGTCTGTGACAGGCAATGGGGAAAAAGCATATTTGTATATTCTGTGTAGCTACTTTACACATATGAAATTCCTAAGGGGAGGGAGATTTTTCTGAATAGTAAGATTGTTAGTTGTTGGCACCACATGAAAATGATTTATTGCTTTAGGAAGTAAATAATCATGTATGGCCAAGAAGAATGCAGTTTTATGTAGATAGCATCAAGTGGATGAAAAAAACTGAGTAGCACAGACACTAAAACAGCTTAAATATTTTAAAAATTAGAATAATTTAAATGTTATTGTTAGTGTTGCTGTCTTTCTCTAACTGCAGTAAAATAAGTATGACACTGAATTTTTCAATCTGAGTCTTTGTTTTAATATAGTATTTCATGTACCTATATGAACTAAAACCCCAGTAAATTCTAACTGTCCTTTTATTTAGGGACATATTCTCAGAAAGAGGGGGAAAAAGGTGGTCTTAGCAGTAAGTAAGTAATATTTATTTGACTGTAACTTACAGTTTCTTACAGAACTTGAAACAGTTTATCCTGGTGGGCTTTTCTGGCCCTATCATTACTTAAGATGCATAGCTCTACATGTTTTTCCAGTTTTTTTCTTACATCGAGGCAATGAAAGACACAGAAAGGTAACTACAGCTGCAGCATTAGTGCACTGCTATGCTCACATTTGAAAATCAGCTGGGCTAGGATAGAAGAATGTAGCATACAGCAGATTTGTTCCTGCTTTAGCAAGCCTCGGCAGCACTAATCACTTTTTATTGAGATATAGATTAATATGTGTGTGTATATACACATACACATGTATATATATGGGGTGTATGTGTGATTTGTATATATATGATTTATATATATATATATATATATATGATTTATAGAATTATTTTTTTTTTCCCTTTCTGGTAGCTACATTGTATCTGTCACCATAGTTATATTTCTGTTAATTGCTAATGAATTTTGTAAAGGATTTCTCTATGGAGAAGAAGCTGAGCATTTGTAATCCAGATGTGATACAATATATTTGCATATTGTGTAATTGGCTTCATGTTTATAGCCTTAGTGTGAAGATCTGGGATCAATATATTCAAACTGATTGCTTGTGCTTCATTCTTCCAAGAATCTCATTCAGCATCACTGCCCACTGCCTTCAAGCTGTTTGGCATGGAGAGTTTCTATTGAAAATCAAGATAGAGACCTTCTGATCAGCATAGCATCTCTATTCAGTGGGATATCTTAAAAAAATAAAAAAAAAATATAAAAAGAATTTCAGAACAAGGCTTTAATCATATGGTGTGAGAAAGGATGATCGACTTGTAACTGATGATTGACTGCAAGGATGGTGACTTCTAACAAGGGCTTATGATGATTTCTAATCTCCACAACAGAAAGTTTTAGTTTCACAGAGCTGCTTCATATTGATTAGGCCATTAGGTGGACTTGCTTCTTAAAAAGCTAGCTTCAGTAAATACTTTTTTTTTATTATTTATGATTTGAAGTATTTCCTTTTTCTTGATTGTCTTTCCAGTGATATCAAGTAATAATTTTATTGTCTTGGGATCAGAAGTCTCAACTTTTTTTCTGATTTATTCAGTCTGCAGAGTCCCAGACTCCCTCTTTAGCCACAACCAGAATTCACTGGTGTGAATGAAGCTGTTGACTTCTCTGAAGAGGTATGTATGTAACACCTACAAAAAAGAAACAAAGAAATTTCCAAAAGATAAATCTTACTTTTCCTGACTTCTTAGTAATAAAAATTAGGAAACTGTAACCCTAGTTGTTTATAGTAAACCAGCATAGACAGCATAGATAATAATTTAATTTAATGAAATTTTAATAATTGACTTTAATAAAATTGTGAGAGCTGTCATGTAGATTGCCACTTTCATTATTAAGTAGAATTTTTAACACCTATATTTAGATATGCCTAATATATTCTATCACCAAATCTTATTTTCATTTACTGTAGTATTTCCTTTATTTTAGCGAATAAGTTTTAATTCTCTGTTTCAAGCCAAGTGCTTTTTGTAAACTTCAGAAAAATTCTTTGTCCTTTTAGAAGAATGAGATTAGGGAAAATATGTAATTTTATTTTTGTTGAAAAGTTCTTGTTCCATCTCAGGTATTTTACTCCAGGCTCTGAACCAGAGAGCTTAACTTTGGGAGAAGCATGATCCTTACATTGAGGTTGTGCCTTTTTCAATTGCTGTTAAAGTTGGCCAGAATCTGGCATTTTTACAGATTTGAAAATTTTGTTATAGTTCAGAAGAGTTTCACAGCCATATCCCCTGACAGATCCCTCTGCATCCAATATACCTCTTATTCCCTCAACAACTGCTGTTTTGCAAAAATCCTGCAAACAAGCCATCTTCATAGAACAATCTCCCTTATTTTGAGAATGGAGGAGATGCTCTGGAATTTCCAATACTTCCTGTTGGATTAAGTATAGGAGAGATGGTAGGGGCTGTCTATATTCATGAATTTGTTGGTCCCCTTTCAGTCAGTGTTCTCAAAAATTGCAGAAGGATTCAGGAAGTTTAGAACAGTTAGAAAACTAGGGAATTGCAGATTCAAGCGTCTGAAAAATTGTTTTTATTGACAACTATATTAATAATAGTTCTCTTACTAAAAACATTTACAGTTTGCAAAAATTCAGTCCAAGTTAAACACACAGTGAAGTAGCCATGGAGAAATATTTTGTATACTTGCAGAGAAATCTGATGATTTTAAAAAAAAATCCTCCTACTTTTGGAATCGTTTTTACATTAGCAGGACTCAAAAGTGGCTTTCATCTCTAAAATGAAATTTTGCAGATCTTCTATATATTTTGCAGCAATGCAAGCCCAAATCATCCCCAAGTGCTATCTGAATTCACATGACCAGATCATTAACCTGAACTTTAGGGAGTCTCTAAAGATTTATTCATAGGGGAGAAGTATTCTCCCTTGGTTACATTAGACCTCCGGCAGCCTGGAAATTTGGGTTTTTGTCCTCACAGTGCCAACTATGTCCTGTGAAAAGTCTGATCTCCTCAGGCACAGCTGTGTCTGCAACTTCAAACAAAACCAAACCAAACAAAAAGACCAAAAAAAAGGGCTTTTTCCTGTGGCACAGTGGTTTGCTGCTGTTAACAGCTGCCCACCTTGTCTCTTCCCGAGAGGTCTCCATCCTCAGAGCTGAGAGGAACGTGTGTTTGTACCCCTCTTCAGCAGTTTGTTGGCTCAGATGCTCCAACAGCGACACGACCCGAGCAGCTGAGCCGTGCCCCCAGGTAGCTGCCAGGCAGTGGACCAGAAGATGCCGTGGTGACTCTGAGGCCACCGAGCAGGAGGGTTGTTTGGATTAAGGTGTTAACAACTGTCCTGGCAAGATGAGACAGGGCTCCTTTGTCAAAGCCCTAAATCTGCCTTCTTCCTGCTTATAAACACCCCTCTGCTGCTTCTCACCTCAGGATCAATGGGAGTTCCTCAGGGCTTGTCATGTTTGAAAGTTGGTCCGTTTTCTTTTCCCAGAGTCTTAAAAAAAACATTTAGGAGTTGAAATTAAGGCTTTTTTTTTTTTTTTTAAATTAACTTAAGCCCTAATTTATTTTCGGTGTGGAAGATCACAGTTCAGTACATGTGCAGACTCTGAAAACAACTAAGTAGCTATGAAAAAAATCTATGACTTTATTCTTTGGCTTTAAAATAAAATGTCTTTTTCTCTGCTGCTAATGGATCATATTAATTGTTTTTCTTTTATATTTTCTGAAGTCAGAAGGGGCCATTTTAATAATTTATTTTGACTTCATCAAAGCACAGGCTTAAAAATATTACCTAGTAGTTTTCCTAACAAGGCCAAGAACTTGTGCAGGGCAAGGGGATGTTTTTGAGGCAGACACAGAAGCTTAACTTAAAGTGACAGAATCCAGTGCAAGTCTTGCTAGATATATTTTCCTACTGAAATGTAGTTCTGCTGTGAGAAGTCTTACTTCAGAAGTCAGGGACAGACACTTTTTCCACCTAGGCCTGTCTTTGAACCACTGTGGAAAGGGTGCAGTATGAGCTGCTGCTGCAGCCTCGTCTGTTCACAGTTCCTGAGCTGCAGGCAACAGCAGGGAGCTCAGCACGGACTAAACACCCAAGTGTTCACTTTGATTTGCAGAAGGATTTTGTGCCCAGCGCTCAGCTGTGTGCTACTGCAGTGCTACCTATGTTGCACCATGGCTATTGCATAGCCAAGAATAGTTTTTGGAGAAAAAAACCAAATAAATACTGAAAATGCTTCATGGGGTTTGTAGTCAGGCATTCTTTATGCATGCTTGCGATTTGCCTTAAAATTGTTACTTTGGAAATGTTATGTGTCCTGGATTAAATGAAGAAAGGTACTGGCTGTCTTTTGACATAATATTACATAATTTAAAAGAAGTTGTTGCCTAAACTAGGCATTTATTGCTTTCTACAAAAAAATCTTCAGATTTTCATTTTAAAATTGCTGGTGTTGAAAATTCTAATGTTGCATGCACTAAGTTGTTCCAATGGTTATCCTTCTCTCTAAAAATGTTGCAGATTAATGTCATAGAATCATAGGATGGTCTAGGTTGGAAGGAACCTTAAAGGTCCCCTAGTTTCAACACCCTAGTTGTGGTCAGGGACACCTTTCACTAGACCAGATTGCTCAGAGCTCCGTCCAGCCTGGCCTTAAACCCTTCCAGGGAAGTAATGAGTAAGACACTTTTATCTAAGTTGTGTAATTTCTAGGAATTCACTCTTGTTACTTTTTTCAGCACTGGAAGAGTTAACCTTTTCATGTGTCTTTTCACTGTATTGGAACAGACCAGTTGCCTTTGATAAGATGAAGCTTTTCCTCATTAAGTTAACTAAATCAAAGTCTTTGAGTATTTCATTAAATACATAGTTCCCAATAATTTAATAAATGTTCCAGTTCTTCCATGACCCTCTAATTTTTAACATGCTGCTTGAAGTACTGGTACAGAACTGCATGCTGTATTTTACCACCAGCTGTAGTAATTTGAAAAGCAGAAGTAATACATGTACCAGACTCCTACTCAGTGCTCCCATGTTAGCAGATACAGCGATCATATTAACCCTTGCATCACACCCTTGCTTTGATTACCAGATGACCCCCCCATCAGAACCAGTTTCCCAGAATAATATCCTTTGCTCAGAAACACACCCTTCAGTATTTGCTCTTGGGCCAGGAAGAGCCCTCATTTTCCTTTGCACTGAAGCTTTTGTAAATACATTCTTTGCAGTTCCACTCCTGGCAGACTTCCACTTCCATCCCACGCTCATCACTTTATATCTCTCCGTATTCTCTCCTGACACTGATTTGGAGTCATCATGACCAGATTGCCTTTGCAAATAAATATCCTTGGGAAGCCAGGAGTGCTGATAAATAATGTTGAGTTTCCATATCCATTAAAGCAGCCATGTCCCTTTGATTCTGCTTGAGCATATCTTAAGCTTCTGAAGAGAAGATTGTGTAATCCCACCTGGAGATGAGTCAGTAAACTGTAAACACATACGAGGCATTCAGAACTAGTGACAAAATCCCTCCAAATATGGGTCCTTGTGTCGATGGCTAAGAAATGGCAACAAAAGAACTGAAGGATGAGAAGAAGAGAACTGATGGTGATGAATGTACCACAGTTGTGAGGAGTCTGGACCTTAGTTGCGTCAAACCTAAGAATTATGTAGTGTTTAGTTATCCATCAAAACCATAATTGATATGATCCTTGGCTGTAACTTTGCGTTGTATGCACTAAGTTACAGGCCTTGGGTTGGCTTGGAGATTTTTTTATGCATATTACTTTGCCTTACATCTCTTCCTTCCCAGTGCTGTTAACTTCCCTAGAGTTAGGGCACTGTGTAAACACTGTAAACTTCAGCCTGAACTGGAGCAACATATTTACTTTTGGAAATGGTTAATTCTTTCAGTGGCTTTTTCACACTTTGCATACACATACGTATCAGCACCTCTACTCACAGTAGAGCCTCTACTGGCTCTTCTTGAGGAGTGCTAGGGAAACAAAAGTCTGGCAATACTTTTGCTGCTGAAGATTGTATTCTTAATGGAATCACATAATTGTTTAAGTCTGAGGATTCACTCAGTCCTGATAAAGATATTAAACAGGACTGGCCCCAGCTCTGAGCCCCAGGGAACACCACTGGTGTCTGGCTGCCAGCTGGATGTGACTCCATTCACCAGCACTCCCTGGGCCTGGCCATCTGGACAATTTTTAGGTTTTTACCCAGTGAACACTGCACCTATCCAGGCCATGAGCAGCCAGTTTCTCCAGGAGAACACTGTGGTAATCAGTGTCAGAGGCTTTTCTAAAGTCTGGGTGGACAACATCTACAGCCTTCCAGTCATCCACTGAGCAGGTCACAGTGTCCTCACAGGAGATCAGGTCAGTCAAGCAGCACCTGCCTTTGATGAGCTCAGGCTGGCTGGGCCTGATCTCCTGCTTGTCCTGTATGTGCTGCATGGTGGCACTCAGGGTGATCTGCTCCATAACATAAACATCTAAAATTACATTATAGAGAAAATTCAGACACATTGTAGGACATTGAAAACTGCATGGCCTTAAACAGCTATTGCAAATTGCTATTGATCTTACAGTGTATTTGATAATTATTTTCAGGTATAATTAAAATGAACTGAAAACTAA